CCCCCCCCAAAAAAAAAAAAATCAGAGCTTCAATCTGAGAGGAAAGAATCCAGCAATGCCTCTGCATTCGACAAAAAGCCCAATTCGAAGCCTGCCTGACATAAGGGCGTAATAAGACTTGACGATGAACCCTACTGTCCATGTAACTCAATGCTTCCTCGGACTCATCTCAAATTGTAGTTACGCCCTTCTGTCAGCCGAGCGACGAATTTGACCATTGACCTCCCGACCCGGTGTGTCGTTAGCCGGCACGGTCAAGATTTTGCCGGGCGCATTCCACTGCAGGGCGGGAAGCGAGCCCACGACGCACAAAGGAACAAGCTAAGAGACGAGATTGGACATGAAATTCTCGGCTAAAATTTCAAATTGTGATGTTTATTTCGTTACAAATTCAATTTGAAGGGGTGTTTTTGAAAGGAAAATTCATGAAAAAACCAATGGAGTCTCTTATGAACTTTCTTCCCTATATTTTCGATAATATAAGTTCAATTCAATTTAAAGTGGTGTTTTCGATAGAAAATTTCATAAAAAAAAACCAATGGCGCCACTTTTAAACTTTCTTGCTTTATATTTTCCATAATATAAGTTCAATTCTATTTAAAGGGGTGTTTTTGAAAGGAAAATTCATGAAAAAAACCAATGGAGCCTCTTTTGAACTTTCTTCCTTCATATTTTCGACAATATAAGCTTCCAACTCAATTTCAATGGGTTTTTTGAAAGAAAATTTCATGAGAACCTCAATTAAGCCACTCCTAAACTTTCTTGCTTCATATTTTCGATAATATAAGCTTTCGACTCAATTTCAATGGTTGTTTTTAAAAGGAAATTTCATGAAAAACCCAATTAGGCCACTCCTAAACTTTCTTGCTTCATATTTTCGATATTATAAGCTTTCAACTCAATTTCAATGGGTGTTTTTGGAAGAAAATTTCAAGAAAACCCCAATTAAGCCACTCCTAAACTTTCTTGCTTCATATTTTCAATCATATAAGCTTCCAACTCAATTTCAATGGGTGTTTTTGAAAGGAAATTTCATGAGAAACCCAATCAGGCCACTCTTTTTCATTTTTCATATTTTCGATAATGTAAGCTTTCAAAGTTGCCAGATTTTGTGAGACTCCTCCGAATGATTCGGTCCATTGTGCGCCGGTCCGGGCGGCTAGAAAATAGACGCAGCTTCCGAGGTGGCCACGACGGGGGCAGGGGGCAGAGAGCAGGGGGGCACCGGGCAACGGGGGCAGGGAGAGTAAAGACACAATGACCTATTGAACGGCCGGGTACTGTTATTCATCTCGTCACATCCACATCACAACCTGAGCCGGTGACGTCATCCCCAAATGATCCCAACGTCTCGCACCGGTCTCCTTCCTTCCATCGAGGTCTCCTACCACACTCCCGCCACCGCACGGTGGAACGAGTTATTAGTTGAGGTAGGACATGATCAAAACCGCGAATTTGAATGTTTATATGTTAGAGAAGGGGCGAAGTAAACATTCTGATCTCCTCATCCAAATACTTCGAGCAAGATTCGCGTGATGAAAGTTACCAAAATTGAATCGGTTTCTGTTAAACGGGCGTAAGTCCACAAATCCAAATTTTTCAGGAGAGGCAAAAAACTGATTTTCTCGTTATGCAGGACACCACTAAATTTCAAAAAAGGGTTCAAAGGTTGTATAAACACCCGTTTAAAAGTTCTGAAATGTTTTTTTGGCTCAGAAAAATTTTAGTGCCCTTTTAGGCTAATTTTAAGTTTTGGACTTACGCCCTTAAACCAGAAAACGAAGGATGACTGAGACAGTTTCAAGCCAAAAAACTAATATTAAAGTAAGTTTAAAAAAATGTAGCACATGTTTTTTTTCTTTTATATAGCATAGGGAGTTATTATATGTTTTTAAATTTATTTAAGGGCCTAAATTTTCTAGAATTACTCCTATTTTTCC